GTCATCGACCAGCAAAACTTCGTCTACGTCTGCAATCTCAATGGTTCGAGTCTTTCTTTCTTCGCCAGCAAGACGCACGCAGTTCAGATCCATGTCCTTAGCCACATGAATCCAAGTAACTATCCATTCACTTCTGTCCACAGTCGACGCGAATGCCATTGCAGTCGTTGACTTTCCCGTTCCAGGAGGGCCAAGGATCCAGCCCAAATGACCTTCGCTCGATACCTGATCGCGTAAGAACTCGAATTGGCGGTGGAATGTGGGCCTGCAGTAGAGCATCATGCGAGAGGGTAGGAGTCCGGACTCGTCCACATCTTCTTTCTCCAGCACAAAGTACTGTGAGTTCGGGTCGTAAACGTGTGATCCCCACCGAGTCGACCGCCACTCCAGACGCTGCTTCTTGTTGGCTGCTTCCGGAAGTTTCACCAGAACGTGGATTTCACCGTCTTCACCGGCGTCTTCGTTAGGGAAACCAAACGCCGTGCTGCGGACACGATAGCAAGAATCCATCTTGTTCTCCTTCTTCTTCATAATATTAATGATTCCAGTGGGGATCTCACCAGTCTCCAACATCATCACGTCACGATCGTCCGTCTTGAGCCAGCTGTCACCCTTCTTCGCGACGTATAGCAGTAGTTGGTCCGCAGGAAGTTTGTACATTTTCGCCTCCTTGATCATCTTCTTCAAGATTCCGACCTTCTTACACTCATCAATTTCCACCACGATAACGCTCCCGTCTCCGACCACCACGCATCCCAACGACTTCATCGCTTTTGGAAAGGGAAAAACTCTCTGGGTTTATTTAAATCTAGAGTACTATTTAGTTAAAAATATCAGTATCAGCTCTGGATATCAGAATATCTAAGTTTTAACCGCATCAACTTGGTCTTGATAAAAATATTAATTACTATTTTCATAATAATGTTTCAAAATAGTTTCCTGCTTAGGTGCGAATAAATAGCAAATTTGCGGCCGAAGCACACCGCGTTCACGCAGCCAAGTCGATGTCTTTCGTCTTTGAGAATAAGAGTTTGTGACGTACTCTTCCTCATTCTGATTGGTCGGTAAACCGAACCCAAGTGGGGAGGATGTAACGGCATACGGACCAAGTGTGCCCCAGGCTCCACGAAGTATGACTTGTCACTCTTTGGGATACCTGGTACGTGATACCAGGGACCAACGACATAGCTTCAAAATAGGTGACGCATAGTTTGTACGATGGGCTCAAGCTTAGCCCACCTATAAATACTTTCAGTTTGCAGCTTATCTTTAGCTGGTTACTTCGCTCCCTTTGGCAAGGGACCTGCCAGCTGCTGTTCACTGAGGGTTTGTCTTCTATCAAGGTGCCGTCATAGAAAGAACTCTGGATTCAAGAGTCACAAACGCCTCCAGTATCAGGAGCCATTTGTCAATTTAAGTAAATTTAGAGGCTGCTGGCCCACATTGCTAGCTCTTCCTAAGCTAATGTAGCTTATTTTACAGATAGTTCATTCTCGCCAAAAAGCAGCTAACTGGACCCGAGCTAACAAGGTGTCGTGGGATTATTTAAGCCTACCAATAGAGATTGAGGTTGCTCTCGAATTAATCAGCATAGTAGAACTGTATAAAAGCAGCAAATCTATTATAGTGACCACAGTGCTGACTTATTTGGTAGTGAGGGTGTCACGAGCGAAAAACGCGAGGTGGCTCATTTCACGGTTAGCGCCTCGAGTATTACACTTTAAACTTTGAGCATACCCCGTAGCACTGCGACGAGCGGTGCGAAAGCACCCGTCAAGGTTACTGCCGGAAAGGCGCAAACCAAGCGTAATAAGCCTCGCGACAAAGGCCCTGCACTCCAGGAGGAGCCACCACCCACCCGAGAGAATATATTGGTCTCTCGAGGAGTGATCTGGGGCGGACATCTTACTGGAGACACGCATTGCTCGTCGTGGGCTTATCGGTGGCCACATGTAGAAGGGCGTAGATGAACGTGCCCTGATTCGTAAGAAGACGCTGTTTGGTGACAACGTGGGGGCGACCCGGTGCGTGCTTCTCGCTCAGCATGGAATCATTCGTAAGGATTTCACGACTTTTCGTAAGAAGTCCGAGAACCGGGGTGATCTCCACCCTATCTGGGCTATCCCTCGGTTCTATTCGAGAGCTGTCCCAACTGGAGCTCATGTGAGGGCATGTTCTGGGTATGGGTGGAGTCTGTCAAGTACTCATCCTCGGCGTTGCGGGAATTCCATGAAGATCCAATGCTGTCCCGCATCTCGGACCGGCGTGACCTTTGTGCCCGGTTTGCCCACTTGGTCAGCAAGCTCATGCAGCCAGGGTTCTTCTGAAGCGCGCAGCTTCTAGCGCTCACGATGAGCGCGGGTACGGAGTGTCGTCAACGTCCGTATCCCGTTCGGGCAAGAAGCCCCGGACTACGTACGAAGCTGCCGCCGCTTCTGTTCCGAGATTGAACAGCCTTCGAGTAGTCTATCAGGAGCCATTTAATCGGTTTCCACGAGGTTTTGGAGCGAGCATAACCTCTCCAGTTCACAAGGAGATGGCACTTCCCGCGAAGTCGCCGCCCCTGGCGAACCCGCTCCACTGCAGACTATTGGATTGCATGTATTTAGGGGATTCATCGGTTAAAAGTCAATATCTTTAACAAATTAGAATAGTAAGATTCTGTCAGCCATTGGTTGATATATACCGTTATTTAGAGTATTATATTAGGCGGGAAACCAAAACAGACAAATAAACAGCTCTCCCGCAACCCCATAGTCCTCGCGTAATGCAAGGGCAAATGCCTCTTCGAGTGTAGAGGGGTCCGATCTTGTAAGGCAGTAGCGCGTCATGCCTCCGCGCATACCGAACACGAACACATGAACCTGAGAGGCCATATCGATGGGCTTGGACACGATACACGACGCGAGGTGTCGTTTCTTCTGGACGTAGTCGCGCATAGTCATCGTGCCTTGCCGAGCGGCGAAGATGTCTGCCCGAATTGAAGATTCATCTTGCGGCGGCTCGTACGCGAGCCGAAGGTCACTCTAGAGGATATCCAGAGTATGAAAGGCGTTGGGGTCGACGGCCAACTTGCCGGGGGCCCATTCCTTGGATTTCCCAGACAGCCGAGAGAGGATAAAGTGAACCTTCGCGGAAGGCGCCTCGATCAACCTCGAGGCGATGGCGATGTCGATCTTTCGAAACCAACGATTCAGTGGAAGTCGGTCTTCTCCGGCACCGGAGTAGGTGGACGTCTCTAGCTTCACGACGTCATTCGTGAAGATACGCGAGGAAGTTGACACTCGCCGATTCGCATCGGCGAGCTCGCGCTCCATGAATTCTTGTGCCGTTACGCGCTGCTCGTCGGGCGTCGCTGAGCGCAGCAGCGATGTGACGACGGCTTCTCCGGGCACCGCCGCGAGGCAGTGAAGAGCTTTCCACTCGATCCGAGTGAGATGGGGGAAAGCAGCGTGGTAAGGTCTTGGCTCATGTCGAACTTGGTCATTGGAAGGACTACAAAGTGCTACCAGGTGTAAAGGGTCATGTATGTACTTCGTTACTTGCTTACACTATAGTGTTGAGGAAGCTCACAATAGGACGGCTGAGTCTTAGATTTAAGGAAAACTCAACTCTGACTTTTTAGGACCAAGGCCACAGCCTTGGCCACTCTAATACACGTCATAGTCCAATTGGCTAATAATGAGTCTGGCTCACCATATATCAGCCAATGGCATGACAGCATTTCACCTACTTATGAAAGGAAATATACCTACTTATGTAATGGAGGGGCCAATTACACGAGCTCTAGCGGCGAGGTGACCATTGGTACTGGCGAAGCGGACACCGGTGCGTCGGTTTCGCTGTCGGTCGCCGTCTGGAGTCAGCGTGAGCGGCTCCGGAGCTGTTGCCGTGGCGCCGCTAGCGACGCAGATGCTGGTGTCGTGGCGATCCGTGGTGGATCAAGTGGCGGCTCGAGCGCGCGCGGTGGCTCAGTGACCGTGTCGTCCGGCGAGGACGGCGTGGTGAGCTTTTCCAGTGGCGGTTCGAGCGTGCGCGGTGGTTCGGTGACCGTGTCGTCCGGCGAGAACGGCGTGGTGAGCCTTTCCAGTGGCGTTTGTCGCAGCACTCTCGGCGGAGCGATAAACGCTGATACCGGTGCTAGCACCGGCGACAGTGTGGGTGGCGGCTCGGTGAAGGCTCGCGGCAGGCGCGATTTTCTTGTCTGGAGGTGCAGCCTCGACACGGATGTTGTCACTGGTGGCAGCGTTTGGCTATAAGTTGGTCTGGTGTCGGCGGTTTGCCTGGTTACTTGGCAGCGGCAGCGTAAGCGTCGTGAGCGGTGTTCTTGTAAATGGTGGCGCCTCCAATGGCCCGACGCCAATTAGCAGCGGTCTACCGGCTGACGCTGTGTCGGACTTTTGCAAGGCGACAGTACATGTCTGCACGTGCCCCTCGTCGTAGAGACGGGAGATGGCTTGTTTGACCTCCTCGCGACGGTTCTTCATAAGCTGACAAGTAGGGCTCTCCGCAGACGCAGAGGGCGATAGCAGCATGGCGATAGCGATCACGACGATAGGGAAAGTAGCCATGTAGCGACGTATACATATTGATTCGAGTACATTGTTTTTATGACACACATACTTTGTAAAACAAAATATTGGTCACTACTTGCTTCTGCATAGATACATATAGATGGGGACTAGCTGGCACTTCCAGCTAGCCCGACCGTACGTAGTATCTTGGAGCTTCCACCTTACGCAAAACGGACTCCGGCATGTACTACGGTGGCGGGGGATAATACAGCGACGTTGAAGCAAACATTCGAGACCTCGACATACGGCTGAGCTCTTCGCGTACAGCAAGCTTTGCGACTTCGTCGAACAGGAAGTCGTTGAGATAGACTATGGTTGCGTCTTGAAATAGAGTGCATGACGACAATGATACGTCCAACACGTCCCCAATCTGCACGCGAGCCTTGCGCAAATTATGTAGCTATGTTTCATTGGACCGTACGCACTTTAAGCCAGCATGAGCAACCTCAGCTCTTTTCTCGATTCCAAGACACTGACTGACTTCGTCTGGATCGCAAACGTGGCCGCAATATTTCCCAATTCGGCCCCCACATCGAGGAAAATGTCATTTTTGTTGACAGGCCTGATCATCTGAATGATGCTGGACACTGCGGTAGGCAATAACCAGCGTTTTCATCAGTCTTTCCAGCGTCTTGGCGAATATCAGCAGCGGAAACAGTGTAATAAATGTGCTCGTTCAGCTTGGCTGGCTTGCAGAAGAGGTATCGGGGGTAGCTTAGACGTCGTTACCGGTGGTCTTGGGAAAACGTACGGAGGAAATTGCGCCAAACCGTTTCCATAACTGCGCTTTAGCGCCCGTAGTCGTTGCTCGAGCTCCTTAAGGGGAAGGGGGTGTTTGCGGAGCTTGCCGTTGGCGAGCTTCTTCCAGTCGATGCTTTTGCCTGCAGATTCACACGCAAGCGCAAGACCTAGAAGTTGTTTGTCCTCCGAGTACGAGAAAGAAGTGCGCATCTGCAAAGTAGTATGTATTTGGAACTGAGTATGTAGATAAGTGGCCTACAGGGGATGTAACGGGCCTGTTGCTGTAGAATAAGATCGTTGTTGGTGTCTGTAAGTCCCGTTTTGACGCTGCAACTGGGTTGCATTGCACGCCTCGGCACTTTCTAACGGAAAAAAGACGTTAAAACGATTAAAAAAGGTGCGACCTATTACGAAATTTGCATTACCATTTCTCCAGTCGTGCTTAAATACTCCGATGAAGATACCTATCCCTCGCAATGGGGGATTCTTACTGGCTCACTCGCTTTAGCAACAACCCTTTGTGGCCTGGTTTGTGAAGGAAGCATTTTGCTATCTTTCATAGGGTATTTTTCTACCGTCTTTAAGAAACTGCTTAAACACAGCAAAATGCTATCTTTGTACCGCGATAAGGAAAATGGTCAATTTAACGGACGCGCCCTATTAGAGTCCGGGCTATATTTAATAGTGCCGCCCGAAAGTGATAGAGAGGACTTTAAACGGGTGAGGACTTTATTCCTTGCTGATATGATTCGTGTACCAGGTTAATACCGTCTAACGCATCATCTAACTCTAAAGGATTTAACAGTCGACGTCTTCGTCCATATGCACGAAATTTAGCGCCATTCACATCGTGCTTGGATATAAACCACGACGAGGGGTATCTCGAGAACCATGCTATTTAAGCGCTCCGCAGGATGGTTGCCGCATCCGTGTCTCGCCACGCGCGGAGGTCTCAATCGCAAACGGTGTCAACACTTGGCATCAGGGAACCCAAAAATATAATTTATATCAATTTCAAAGGACATCGAGAAATACATAACGCGCGGCAACCTAAGAACTCAGCAAATAAATAATTGGAGCGGGGACATTGCAAACGTAAATTATTAGTGAAATAAACTACCAAGCCTGGGTGAAGCCGCCTAAATGCAAGCATCCACGGTGGTGAAAGAAGAGAGTAGGTTTTGTTGGGGTGTTCCTGAAGTTGCAGAATGAGCTAGAATATGCGATTCGGAGAAGTCGAGAGGCTCCAAACCAACCACAAACTGTAGGTAGCTGTTGTCCGGGAAAATAAAAGTTGGGTCGTCGTACACCAACTTCGTAAATACAGCTGGTGTTGTTGGTACAACACTTTCTCTTTTCTTAAATTCAACCATTTCATCGGCTTGAATTTTAGTTGAAGCATTTCTCGTAAATAAATTTTGATAGTTACAATAAACAGTAATTGGCAATAAATATATTTATCGGGTTCCCTGCTTGGCATACGTGGGCTACCAAAGCGAGTGCATTCGACTCGGTCCGACTCTTTCCAAGCGTTATTTCCATGTACAGTAGGTCCTTAAAACGACATATTTAGTCCACTTGATCACCTCTTGCTTATGCTCACTGCTAACCTACTGCCTTTAATGAGGCATTATTGGAAATGACGAAAAAGTGTTTCTCTCTGTAGAATGGATCAGATTTGGTAGCTTTTATAAGGACTCTATTCGGGAGAGGCTTGTATTTAATAGTGCAGGCATGTAGCACCCCACAGGACACTATTCGGTAGGGGGCTTTTATTCGGGCGCATCCGTTAGTAGCTTTTGCCAGTTTAGTAGCCGACCCATTTTCAGCCAATACAGTCAATGTACCCATACGGTTATTGATTTGATTTGTCAAAACTACAGCTGCTCCGTCTTAGTAAAAACGTGAAGCACGTTATATCTGGGTGTTTCCCGCCCATTTCCAAGCCTGGCTCAATGGGAAGGCTTCGAAAACCTTATTCTGACGCAGAACTTGACGCTGCCGTTCAAGAGGTGCTTTCGAGGCCCACTACGAAGACAACGAGCGACAAAACCAAGATTCCCCATAGCACGCTTAAGTAGTACGTCGCTCTAGCTCGGAAAGGGATCCCCTGCAAGTCCAACCGCAGCGGTCCGCATCCTATGCTACTAGAACATGCAGAAAAAAGCCTCCGAGACTGGGAACTTGGAAGGCAGCAGGTCGGGCAGCCTGTAAGCCGCCACGACCTTTTTGAGAAGGCGCAGGGGGTGGCTCAGCTGGTGTGCGGCCTGTCGATGGAGGAAGGCTGGCTGCGCCGCTTGCTGGAGCTTCACTCGTCCCTCACATTAAGGACATCACAGCCCATCTCTAAGTACCGTAACGAGGTGGAAGAGCGGGATCTTGCAGTGTTGCTCTCGTCCCTAGCTAAGGTCATGATAGAGCACAAAATTGGGGCAGTACGAGTTTTTAATGTTGACGAAACCGCTCTTAGCACTACGAGGGAGCACAAGCAGGTGATCGCTTCATGAAGAAGAAGAAGCGTCAAATAGACGTACCAAGGCGAGGAAACCAGTGTCGTCCAGGAAGAAGAAAGCTGGCCAGGTGCCAGCGACGGAAATTGAACCTGTGGTAGAGGCTTGAGTTTTGGCAGTAGCAGTTTATAAGCTGCTTATAAATACTAAAATAGAGAAAAAAATGGCTTAAGACAGGATTAACTTTTCCAATCCCTTAGCCTTCTTGGATCGATCAGACGAATCTAGCAGTTTAATGAGATTAAGTCATATGTGGACCCTAATCAGCGAAAGTCCAGTCTACCGTAGCGGCCTATCATTTGCAAGCTCCACTAAGTGCCACAAAAACAACAGGCATTTAGATGTGTATGAAAATCACAAAATCAGGTGTGTGTCTGCTCTTCTCGATGGCGCAAGTAACGTGTCATTTAGACTATTCCTAAAAATCTCTTGATATACCGTCGACGATCCTCTATAAAATATTATGGTGCTACATTTGTAATTATTAAAAGTATAGTGGCTTGCAAGTGATAGGCTTAAAGGACGGAATACCTAATAAACGACGGTAAAGCATAAAATGCACTGGTGAATGTCGTTCCAAGCCGCCTGGGTCAACATTCACGCTATCTGGTTTTAGGTGGATGTTGCTCCAATATACGATACCACCGATGGTGGGTGGTATAGTACATGAAGGCTACATGAGGAATAGATGAATACTAAAAGGATTCCTATCGAGACCGTCTCGCGTCAAGACAGCAAGGTCGGACGACAACGCACGTCCGACCGCGGTTTCTTCATTTTGGCTAAACTGTATCCTCATACACATCAACCTTACGACGTAACGCGTAAGTAAGCCCCCTCCCCTCTCTCTCTCTCTCCTCTCTCACACACACACACACACACACGCACGCACACACGCACACCCCACACACATCAGAGGAAAAAAACAAATTACCACGTCGGGTATTTCAAAGGGAGGACTGACAGTAGAGAAAATGATTCTTGCTCCGCTTCGTCATCCGACTCGCAGGATTCCCCAGCGTTCATCTTTCTACGTCGCCGTCACTCGAGTGAAAACGTTATCGCAGCTGTATCTCATGGCCCCCCTTACGAAAGCGCTTCTGGAGTATTTTGCTCCAAGTCGTGATGCGCTGGCAGAAACCCAAAGCCTTCATGCAATTGAGGATCGAACAGATTAAGTGTGACGGGGCCACACAGCACCTTTGCGCTAGAGGAAGTTATCTTCCGAGAGTATACAAACTCTCAGTGAACGGCAGTTCACAGGTCCCCTCTTTAGTTAAAGAGAGCGAAGTGACCTAAATAAAGTAGATTGTAAACTGAGTATATTTATAGGTAGGTTAAGTTTGGGTTTAATACAAACTATAAGTTACCTATAGAAATGCAATGTCGTTTGACCAATGGTTGGCTTTGAACGACCTTGGTACCTTGTACCAAATATCCCGGAGTATGACGTATCATACTCCTGAAGTGTGAAGTCTCACACTTCATGTAACCAGGGTACACTTAGTGCTACGTACCCCGTTACATCCTCCCCCACTTAGGTTCGGTTTACCGACCAATCAGAATGAAGAGATGTTCGTCACAAACTCTCATTCTCAAAGTCGAAAACCATCGACTTGGCCGCGCGAGCGCGGCGGAGGCTCACTTCACAGTTAATGCCTCGAGCAGCAACCAGTGCGCTCTTCGTCTAGGTCTCCAATTCGACCGTTGTCATGCCTCGTGGCACTGCAAAGAGCGGTGCTAAGACACGCTCCAAGGCTGCTGCCGGTAAGGCGCAAGCCAAGAGCACTAAGCCTCACGGCAAAGGCTCTGCACTCAAGGAGGCTACTCAGGTGGCCTCAGAGGCGATCGGTTCCTCGGGTGACGCGGCTGTGGACAAGCGCGCATGCAAGCGCCGCAGCCCGTCGCCCTCATCTTCAGACAATCGTCCGAACCCTCGGTTGGTGGAGCGTGAGTTCAACTCGGGCAGTGAGGACGATGCCGAGTCCGAGAGCACTCACGATGCTCCTGCGGACTCTGTGGGAGGGCACATCCCAGTGCCCAGTGAGCACAAAGATGACAGCGTGCAGTCGCGCGCTAGTGATCAAGGTGATCACAGTCCCAGGACCTCTGTGCGCACTGAGAGTCCGGCCGTCAAGGCTAAGGGCGCTCCCAAAGCTGGTGGCGATGAGGAAGAAAATCCTCGCAAACGTCTCTCGCTTGCCGAGGGTCTTGCGCGTGCTAAGGCCTCTAAAGCCGAAGGCGCCAAGCCCTCAAAGAAGCGTACAGCCTCTAAGTCTCCACTCCGCGAGGAGAAGGAGACTCAACGCTCCTATCAGAGTATCTTCGACTCCTCGGATGAAGAGGATGATAAGGAGGAAGAAGAGGAAGAGGAGGGTGCTATCGTTGAGCCCCGGGAGGTCTCGAATGACCTCGACCAGCAGCAGGAGGAGTTCCAAGCTGCCCAGCGTGTGCGTGGGGGTTCGGTGGTGGCACCCATCAGCCAGGGAGCTGCCATCAACTCAAGAGGGTATTGGCCTCCCGAGGAGAGCTCTGGGGCTGATCTCTTCTTAGAGGGTCTCGTCGCTCCTCGTGGCCTCGTGGGCGGCCACACTTCTCGGGGCATCTACGAACGTGCCCTTGTTCAGAAAGAACAGTTGTTCGTTGACAACATGGAGGCTGCTCGGTGTGTGCTTCTCGTGCCACACCGCATTCCCCTTA